TCTTCTTCGCCTTCTGTTTCTTGTAAAATTATTAATTTTTTGTAGTTGTTTCTCAATCTGAACCTTGTATATATGTTTCTGTGCTCATTTTTTAAATTTCTGTACGTATGGGTTTGTTTTGAGCGTCAAGAGCCACAGTTTGATCAAAAAAAAAAAAAAAAAAATGGTCACAATTATTCTTAGTCTAACCAAACAGGTTTTTTCTATCTTTTTGTCGTTGCTGTCTGTTGTAGTAGATGTTACTCCTTTAAAGTTGTCTTTCGGGCATTAAAGAAAAATTTTTTTTACTTGTTGTTTTACTTAATTAAAGTTTAACGCCAAATTATAGGATAAACATTAAACATTTTTTTTTTTAAACTTGGTGTTTTCCTTTTCAACTGATGTTATTTTTTCCCCAACCTCGTTTTTTCTTTTTTTTTTTTTGACGCTTTTTCTCAAATACTTATAAGTTGCAAAATTAATGGTATTTAAACCAGTGGTAAAAATTTCTTACCAGTTTGACTGTCATCACCATTATGGTTGTTATTATTATTATTATCGTTATTATTATTATTATTATTATCTTTATTATTATTATTATCATTATTATTATTATTAAGAATGTTTTTTTCTTTAGTCAGCGTAGTTGTTGTCAACTGTATTACTTGAATATGACAAAAGTTGATTGAAAAAAATTTTCCTAAGTGTTTGGTTTTATGTAAACTAAAAGCTGCCAACAAACACAGGAAAAAATTATAATAATTTCTGACTGCCTAAATAGTGATTAAAAAAATTTTCAAAAATGTTTTATTTCAATTTGTTTGACAACAACTGCGCACTTAATGAAAAAAATTTTTTTATTGCGTTGTTTAAACACTAACCAAATGAACAGTTGTGATCAAGTTTTTTTTTTTCCACTATAACTTTACAATTTAAATTTGCATACGGTAAATAAATTTATAGTCTTAGAATTTGAATGAGAAGAAAATAAACAAATTCACAAGATGTACAGATAATTTTGAATGGGAAATAACAAACAGAAGCGAAAATGCTTGAAAGAGTGACAAAATCAGGTTAAAATTGGTCCTTGAAACTTGGCCAAAAAAGAATACTTTCTTTTTTTTCTTGTTAGAAATAAAGAAGATCGAAAAAGATAATGCCATCCTTGCCTAAACGGGTGTGAATAATGCGCGTCTGAAAATCGGTAGGTTGATCTGCATCACATTTCCATCCTCTTCCCGTACAAGGAATAATCCTTTTTGCGAAACTCTGATTTGTGTCTACTGTGCACCAAGTAAATGTTGCAACCGCCGTTGGGCTGTCTGGCTGATCGTCTGGCATCACTGTAGCATACAGTCTGTTTAATACTTGATACTGGCAAAATTCTGGTCTCCAACTGCTCGTCGTTGTATCCGAAGATGTGCCAACAAACATAACCACTGGAAAACTAGCGCACAGTTTTTTGTTCTCGTGAACTTTACTGTTTAGCACTCATGAACACTGACGGCAAATTTTCGGCGGTAATGCTCATTGTTTCGCTACTTCTAACTAGCTCATATGACTGTAAAACTTGTAGCGCAGTTTGGATACATTGGTTTTACAATGAAATACAACATCTACATGCTATATAAGATGCTGTAATGCCACTGAAAGAAAGGTGTCAAGCAAAAATAGCAAAAAAAAATTTTAATTATCAAATTTTTGGCATTACAAAAGTTGTTTATCATTTTGATAATTTTAAAAATGCCTAGATTTTTTTCATTTGTAGTTTTCTATTTTTCTGTTTACTAGAAGGTATTGGTTATGTCATGGACGATCGCCTTATATTATTAAAATTTTATATTTATTGGATTGACCGAAAACAGTTCCTTCTGCATATTAAACAAAAGCAAAAAGACATTTTTGAAATTCATTTTTAAATGAAGTTGACGATAAAATATTGTAAAAAGAACAGTTAACGCTTATTTTTTATTGAAACTTGCCGTATGTCAACAGAAACTGCAGTGAATCTACGTCACCCAATCGCCAACGAACTGTTACAGCCCTTCTGGAAGAAAAAAAGATTTTATTCTTTTTATTAATAGCGACATTGTATTTGAAGTTCAGTTTTTTTTCATTTTTTTTCATTCTTCAACACCCATTTTTCTGTTTTTGCCTTTTTTGCTTTCGTCTTCTGTTACTCGATTTCCGTTTTAGAAAAAAAGTATTTTTGTTTAATTGATCGGGGCAAACAGTCAGTTTTCTCTGACTGAAGCAATGAACTCGAGCAATAAGAAAGTTCATTTTTCGTTAATTGATCAACTCCGTCAAGTTTAACCGTATTCTACGTGCAGTCATCGTATCATAGCTAACTTTTTGTTGTTTCTCTTCTTGTGTGTGTTTTTGAAGCAGTTTATAATTTAATAATAGTATCGACTTTGCATCAACGATTAATCTAATACCATCTCAACGGTTACTCGACATTTTTCAGTCGAGTTAAAACTTATCTAATTTCATCTCAGCCGCATTAATTGATCGGCTAAATTTAGTTACAGTTAAATGACGTATAAATAACTGGAGAGACAAATGCCAGAGTTTTAACAGTTATTTTTGGTCTAATTGGCGATATTACAGAGTATCAATGGTGAACACAGAATCGATCGCTACCAACGGTGCATTAAACGAAAATGAAGCTTCGTTGAAGGCTGAGAATGGAAACGCAAAAGCAGAAACAATTGTAGAAACAACAACCATAATCAATGATACTAAAATTGGCTATTGCATTTACGGTTATGGAGCGGTCAAGTTGCTGTTTATCTGCGGTGGTGTCGGTAAGAGTCAAGCTATCCAATATTAAAAAATATTAATGTACAAGTGAGCTGAAAACCTAGCATCAATTCAAAATAATGTTTCCAAGAGAAAAAAAAATTTAAATTAATCACAGGCGTAAAACTGTCAACAAGTTAACAAACAGATTTTTGCGTGATGGATAATCTCAGTGGACAATGAAAGAGATACAGAAATTTCATATAAGTAGATGTGGCACTCGTCCTCTTCAACTTTTTCAAGGTCTATATGTGCCTACAACAATTCAAAAGATATAATGATTCAAAGAAAGAAGTGTTTTTATTTAAGGTTGCTACAAAAAAGATTTTCCGGAACCAGTTTTAAGAGCATTTGATCCAAGTTTGTACACCATTGTTTGCATTGATCCACCGGGTTACGGAACCAGTAGACCACCGGATAGGTTTGTCCAAAGTTATTCACTTATTAGTTAAAGTTTGCAGTAAAAAATTTCGTCCAATTTCACTTTTAATCAAATTAACTTTTTATTACTGCTATTTTTAGTAACACAAGTTTACACTACAAGTTCCTTCACCGTTGACAGATAAACTGCATTGCTGTTTCACTGATAAATTGTTCAATTTATAGGTTATTATTCAAATTCTTTTTGTTTCCAGGAAACAGGAGGTCAACAGATGCATGAAAGATGCCGTCTTTTGTATTAAACTGATGGAAGTGAGTAGTCGTGTTTTTGATTAAAATAAATAAATTTTAAAAAAAGCAATTTACTTCTTTCTTTTTTTTTTTT